ACACATGGTGAAGCAAAAAGTTGCCTTCCCATAGAGAAATACCGTTGCGGCGGTGAAGGGCAGCCCCTTTGTTTACGTTGTGTGGCGACATCTACTATTTGTAAGTGGGTACGTGAAACTAAGATTATCTGTCACCTTGCCGGGGACTTGATGTCCATGTAGTACAAGCCAATCCTGGACTATATGTCTGGGATACAAGCTCATACTCTTTAGTTAACTCTATTATCTGTCATTTGTGGTCCTGAAAAGGACCGATGGGTTGGAAACTATGAAATTATTTTTCAAATTCAATAGCCTTTAAAATGAAGGTCAAAGTTCAGCTGTTCTGATTTCGGTAAAATTCACCGAACTCGAAAACAAAATCTTAGTGTGGATTGTATTCGTTTGAATTTAAAAATTTGATAACCTACCTACTTGAGCACAGAAACCTACCTGACAACTTGAACTAGGTTGCCAAATCACGAATGATCTGGTGGTTTGATCGCAGACAGGCGACTTTGAACCTTTCCAGCGTGGACGTCTTTCGCTCCTCGAGTGTTTGAAGTCCGGCCAGGTGGTGAATCGGAGAATTACGAGTTCGCGGTGGACTGTTAAGGATCATTCTGAGGATCTTGTTTTGGATCCTCTGAAGCTTTAGGTGGTGGCACTTAGCACAACTCTCCCAGATTGGCATACCATACTCAATAGCCGGCAGAATGATCTGCTTGTGGACAGCAAGCTTGTTTTTGAGGGACAGGGTGGACTTTCTGTTTATCAGAGGGTAGAGCGACCTGATCAAGATGTTACACTTGGTGGATGTCTTGTCCACATGAGATCGGAATAGCAATTTGCTATCGAGGGTGAGACCAAGGTAGACTCACTCGAACATTCAATGGGAGTGCTATTAAGATGGATCTTGACGTTAGCAGGCGGAACAAGCCGAGGTGAATTCGAGTGTGGAAACAGAATTGTTTGTGTTTTAGCTGTATTGATACAAATCCTCCAGCTCTTGAAATAGTCGGACAGAACATCCAGGCCTGATTGTAGTTTACTCGCCTGGGCATGGATCACTCGACCCTTATAGATGATGGAGGTGTCATCTGCGAACATTGACATAATACCACCGCCCGTCTGACGTGAAAATGTTGAATAGGATAGGCCCAAGCAGGCTACCCTGAACGTATCAGAGGGGACATTGTTCAAGTAGACTTGGAATGATCTGCCCGACAAGTAGTTTTTGATGATCTTCACGAGGTAGATCGGAAAATTATATCGATGCTGCTTGTACACTAGACCATTATGCCAGACATTGTCGAACGCCTTCTCGACATCCAACAGTGCCATGGCAGATGTATTGGAAACGGACTTATTCTGCTTGATTATGTTAGTAACCCGTGCGAGTTGATGGATGGTAGAGTGGCCTTTCCTAAACCCGAATTGTTCTTTGAGAAAGATGTTATTATCATTTAAAAACAACAGCAGACGGCTGAGTATCAACTTTTCGAATAGTTTCGAGATGGAGGACAAGAGGCTGATGGGGCGATAGCTTTTGGCACTGGTAGGATCTTTGCCAGGCTTGTGTATTGGAATCACTTTGTCTAACTTCCAGCATGCAGGGAAGTAGCCAAGCTCCAAACATTTGTTGAAGATAACGGTAAGATGGTTGAAGAAGTCAATATTCAAGTTTGTCAACTCGAGGTTGACTACACCATCCATACCCGCGGCCTTCATGCTTTTAGTGCTTCTAATAGCTGCTATCACCTCAAGAGCCGATATTCCACTATCATCATGCACTACTACGGGGGTGTCAGCGACTCCAGACATTGCCTCCAGTACGGCAGGCTCACGGTTTGACCAAGATTATGTGAAATCACAAAAATGTTGGCCAAGAGCATTGGCCTTTTCAACTGGGGTTATGAGTAGGGATGGGTCCAAGTTCTGGTCAACAGAGGAAAGCGGAGGGATCGGTTTCGACTTGTTTTTTCAAAATTTTGGTCATCTTCCAAAATGGTTTTGCACAATCTGGGAGAGAACTAATCTTGTTGGTAAAGTCGTTATTTCTGAGTTCCACCATCCTGGCCTGGATAATTTTGGTTAGCCTATTGACATTGGTCTTCAAGTGGGGCAGCCCAGAACGCTGGAACTGCCTACGAATGGTGTTAAAGAGACTGATAAGATCTTTGGTTGGGCTGTCAAGGTTCAGAGTATGACTCACCTGTCTGGATGCTGGTACGTGTTGCTCCCTGTCACGGGATATCGCCTCTTCGATGGTTTGCAGACACTGATCGATTTCTTCGAACGACTCCGGTAGGACGTCGCAGTCTATTGCTGTGTCCACACAGCGCTGATACTGCTGCCAGTTGACACGATGGTAATTTCCCCGGGAAACTTGAAACCTATTGGCCGAGAACCTACTTCGGCCACCACCGGATAGTGGTCCGAGCTCAGTTCCTGATAGGCGATAGGTTGAGAGATGTTATCGCCAATGTTGCTGATGAAGATGTCCATGGTGGCATGAGCTCCGGATCGACTCAACCGGGTGGGAGTGTCCGGACACAGGATGTTGTAGTGGGCTTCCTGCAGATCGTTGTACAAGATTGTGCCGTTCTGGTTTCGCCGACTATTGCCCCAGGCTTGATGTTTGGCGTTCAGGTCACCAGCCATGACGAAATTTAGCCGCCGTCGTGTTAGCTTGATGATGTCTCTTCGGAGGTCTGCGGCCGAGCCGTCCCTAATGTTGGTTTGCTTGGGGCAGTTCGTTGAGAAAGTCAACAAACTCGATGTTTTTGCTCTTCAAGGAGCAAGCATTCCAATTGACGATCTTGATGGCTTCACGGTCCATATTAAGTGTCAAGGGACAGGGTAGCATGTAGCTGTTTAGATCGAGTCTTGCAGGTGCGCATGATGGTGATGACCTCGGCCACGAGTGTCACAAGTTCCTCCGAGGTGAACGGAGAATCGTCGACAGGTTCACCTGAGACAGCACCAGCGTATGATAAACCAGGGGCGGTGGATGAACCTGGAATTGGCTGGGCCGCAGCAGCAGCGAGACGATGCTGAACTGTCCGACTGTTGGAAACCATTTGGATACTCGCATGATTGGCTTGTTGGTTGTTGAGCGGAAGCGGGGCTAGGTTCGGAACATGTCGACGGGCCTGGAGAGCTGGGTACTGGACTTCCGTGAGTACAGGGGGCGAACGATGATTACGGAGGTGACCGAGCTGGTTGTTGATTGTAGCCTTCCGACGGATATTCATGAACTCCACTCGCTTGGAACATCCGCGATTGGAGGCTTGGTGGTTTCCACCGCAGTTGACACACGTTGGCTCTATGCCATCATCTTGCTCACAGGACGCAGTTGAGTGAGTTCCAGCACACTTGCCGCAGTTTGTCTTCATATGGCAGTTTTTGGTGCCATGGCCATAGGCAGAGGCAGTTCATACACTGCGTAACATCACGATGTTGGGGTTTGTAATGCTCCCAACTGATGATGACCTTAAACAGGTCCCGAATTTTGGATCTCAGAGCCGCAAGACTCGTGAAGTGCACCAGGAACAAGTGGTCACGGAAGCTGGTGTTGTTGTTGTTGTAACGCCGGTTCATTTGGTACATCGCCTCAGGTTTGAGCCCAAGCCGCTCCAGCTTGGATTTCACCGCAGCCGCCTCGAACGACGGTAATCCACGCAAAACCACCTTCAGTGGCTTGCTCGATGGCAGATCATGCGTAAAGAAGTTCACGTTGTTGTCCTTCAGGAAACATCCTATTTGTTTGTACCCCTCCAGGCTGGATCACATGATTTTGGTACCGATGCAATGTTGCAAAGCTTGAAGCAGGCAGCAGCTTGTGTTTTGCCAGTTCGGCACCCAGCTTGGCAACATCCTTCACCGGCGTGAAAAGCGGGGGAATCCGCTCTTTTCTTGCAATGGGAATGGTGTCACCATCGCCATTTTCTTCCGGGAGTAATGCATACTGGTTGGCTTACAGTACCCGTTTTCGGGCGTCATCCTGTCATCCATTTACGCACCATTTGTTTCGTGTTTGCAAGTTCAAGTAAACTTGCCAGAACGCGAGAAGGTGGCGACACTTCCACGGCGCAACCAACAGCACAAAACGAAACAAAATCGAAACGAGAACTCGAGCGAAAATACGGACTGAACAGCTCAACAGTCGAGCTGAACAGCTCAACAGTCGAGCTGAACAGCTCTGAACAGCTCAACAGTCGAGCTGAACAGCTCAACAGTCGAGCTGAACAGCTCAACAGTCGAGCAAAAAAAGCTACCGCATGGTACCTACGTTTATGCTTTAAGCCTCTTCTATTAAGAGAATTCGGCAAGATTTTTTTTGCCATAATTTTCTTAATAGGAGGAGTTTAAAATTTGCATCTAAAGGTATAATGTTAGGTACCATCTGGCATGCTCAGATCAAAACTACAGGTCTTCAGCAAAGTTGTAGCTGATACAATTTCACGAAATAGAGGATAGGAAGCTTTTTCGTAAATTATTATGGCAAGGGATAGGACGTTGAGAAAAAAGTAAGTAACTAAGTGTAATCTGCAAAGAGCCATTGCAGTATGAGTTCGCATCCGAGTAAACTAAAAGTTTGGGAGAATTATCAGGACCTGATTTGGAATCGATAGAGCTTAGTGGAGCAACATTGATACTTATACTTGTGTTGCACGAGGGACTGTCATCATACAGACTAAATTAAGCGTCGGGACTTAAATAGCTATAAATTGTTTTAATAAATATCAATAAATAAATAATGCAATAAATAGTAACAAATTCATGTAATCGAACCTATGCAACAGAACGTCAAAGAAATATCCAGTCAAAGGTTTGTTTCACAGTCGAGAAAGTTCTAGTCGCCTTAGTCTTAAATCGTCTTCGTCAGTATCCGTCTAGTTTAGATCAAAAGTAAGTACTCCCGTCATTTATGTTCGTCAGTCGGTCAGTTAGTCGGTCAATCAGTCCTTGTGATCCTCGTTCATCAGTCGCGTCTCATCGCGGTCAGTGTCAGCGTGATTACAAAAGAAGACAACATAATGATCCGCATCAGTCTTCCGCACTGATCGGTTTCGGTAGCTCGCTCAGCGAGAACGCATCGCTTTTCAGCTGCGGAACATCCGGCAGTGGATTTCGCTTTTTTGACTTGGCCACGTTGAACATCACCCAGTTGTCCGGTCTGTGGGGTTGGAAAAGGTCAAAGATTAGCAACGAATTTATAGAAATAAATTTGACGAGACGGACTTACCTTTCGATACTAGTTAGCAGGACAAAGGGAACCAGCGCAATTCCCGGTTGTCGTCGGTCATTGTGGTGTCCATGTCCGTGAGTGGTCCCAGTTGTCGTCGGTCGTTTCGAGTTCGAAGTCGGTCGACGTCTTCTGGGGTTGCTTGTCGTGCGTCGATCAGGTCGTTGAGGTCGATGGGGTGTCTTGTCCGGTCGTCTCGTTGGGTCAGTTAGTAAAGGTGGTTTCGACAGGTCGTTGATGGTCTCAGTCTCGTCTACAGGTAGTATCGATTCTATAGCGTCTACTCGGTCGGGCGTTCGGGCGTGAGCGTCATGGATGTTCAGTAAGGTCAGGGGATCGATAGAGTCAGAGTCCTTCAGGTACACATCAGTCTGATCTAGTTCTGGTAGAATGTCGTCTGGTTCAGTTTCTTGGTCGTATTCGTCATAGTATGTTTGTCCGTGCGTTGGTTTTGTCAGTTTACGTCTGTCGGTCAACTTGGAGTCACCTTGGACTGTCCTGTCAAGGTTCAGCTGGTGATGGTCTTGTGAGGCTTGTCCAGAGTTTGTCTTTGCTTCCAGTTCCGTTGACAAGTTATGGTCATGGGAGTCTATGAGGTCCAATGTCGTCTTGTGAATCGTATCGTTTGTACGGTGGTCATTGTCGTCATGTTCATGACTATCTTCAGTCGATTCAAGCGTTTGGTCGTCGTATAATGAGTTCTGAGTCTTGTCATTTGAGTCTTTAGATGTTTCGTTCTCGGTAGGTAATGACGTCTGGTCATTGATGTGATTTAGTTGATCGTCATTGTAAGTTTCATTTATAGTATGTATTTCGTTTGAGTCAGACTTGTCTAGCGTATTCTTTGAGTTCGTTAGGTTTTCAAAAAGTGGATTGTCGATATTGTGGTTGTCAAATTTGTCTCGTAAATGTCCGTTTATACGTATTTCATCGGGTTTGTCTGGTTTGAGATAGTCCTTCAGTAGAATGTGTTGATCTTTCTGCTTAGTCCTGTCTTGGTTTTTCTCGTTGGCAGTTTCGACCTTCGTTTTGAAGTCTGTCGATTCAGTTTTGTTCGTTCCGGTCTCCGTTTCGGTTAGGTCAATGTTGTCCGTCACTTCAACGTCTGCGTGTTGGTCTGTATCGTCCGGTTCGTCATGGTTGTGCGCTGTTTTGTCCCGGTCAATGTATGGTCCAACGTATTGGTCCAAGTCGTCGTCGTCTACTTTCAGTGGCTGTTGATACCGTTCGGCGTATCGTCGTCGTTCCGGATCCGTGCGTGACCAAAGTGTCGCGTTAGTCGTTGGTAATATTTTGTAACCGTCAATAACACCAGTCTCACGGGCATTGTAGTAACTGTAGTTTCGGTATGTCCACTGGTCGTTGGTCTTCTTTAACGGTTCGTATTTGTTCTGTTCCGGTCGAAGGTAACCGTCATGTTCGTGGACGTTTAACGTATCATGTCGGTTGGCGTCCGGTATGTCGTAGTCATAGTCTTGTATAAGAAGAGGTGGAAGAATACGGGAAGGTAGTTGGTCTGTATGGTCCGTTGCAAAGAGTTGTTTCTGTGGTTTTCGGTTACTAGTATTTTTCTGAGAGAATATAGGCGAAGGTACAGATGATGGTTGGTGAGCGATAGGTCGGGAGGAAGAGTATTGAGGTCGAGGGTCGACGGAAAAGACAGACTGAGAGGCAGCTGAAGGGGAAGGATTTTTAGAGCTTTGAAGAAAGACATTAGAGTTCAGACTAGATGAAGGTAGTACAGGTGTGGAAGGAGATGGCGATAGAAAGATAGGTTTGTCGTTTGGTCTAACATTATTTATTACTAGTAGTCCAGGTCTTTGGAAAACGTTTTGAGTTTGTGATTGAGGTCGTCTGGTCGTTTGTCGATTTAGAAGTTGGTCGTTGTCGTAGTCGGAGGTAATGATCTTGTTAGTAAGTACATGTTTAAGGGTCGTACGTCGGTTGGCGGGTCGTCGCGTGTCCTGTCCGTAAGGATTGTAGGTCGTCAAAGGTGGATTGTAGCAGCTGTAGCCTCCGCAATATGGTGGTTGAGGTGGAGGTGGAGGTGGTGGTGGTTCAGTCGTATAGTAACTTCCGTAGTAAGGGTTTGGAGGTGGGTTTGTCACAAGTCCGTAGCCTGAGTCGTGACCGTATCCGGGTTTGACGAATACGGGTGGGTCAGAGTCGATATTGTAGTAGTTAACGTCATCGTAGTCAGAGGGTGGTGCGGGTGCAGGTGCCGCGTAGTAGCCACTTCGAAGAGCGTTATTGTGTATTTTAGAATGTAGAGTTGCGTTGTCTTCTTTTGTAAACAACTTTGAAAGGTTTAGGTCACGTTTTGTCAACGAGTGTTTACGTTCTTCGTCGTCGGTTACGTTATCGGTAGAGTCACGTTTCAGGCTGAAGTCTATGTTGTTGATGATCACATTTGTCGATACAGTCGGTCGTCTTTTCGGTGTTGTTTTTCTGGTAGGTTTCCGTTTCGGGGGTGCAGTCGTACCCGTCAGGTCCAGTTTGTTGTCAATTCCGGTCGATGGCGTTGGGATAGGGTCTTTATGTGGAATAGGTCTGGGTGGAGTCGTTTGCGATGCAGTCGGTCGAGGCGTGTTCGGCGTCAAGTCTAGCTTATTGTTCACGACTGTCGTCGATGGTCTCGGAGAGTTTAGTACGATCTGTCCGTTGGACGGTATCTGTAGTCCTGTGTTTCCGTTGGGGGTGAAGTCTACTTTATTTACGATGTTGGCGTTTTTTGTAGGTTTCCTGGTCGTGGTGGTAGAGAAAACGGATTGTGGTGCACTTACGTCATTGTCGCTTTGCTCCGTATCGTCATTTGGTCTCGTAAATGGGTCTCGTTCCGTCCAAGGTTCTAGGTCAATTGGTGCCATCAGTTTTGAGTCACACGGTAGTCGTTCGTTTTGTGCAGTGTCAGCTGGTAGAAATACATGAGGTTGCAGGGTACCACTTCCAAGTGCCCGGCAAAGAACTTGCGAGAAGGCAACTTGTCGGATGGATTCCAGCTGCGCTGGGGTAAAAGAAGACTCAAAACCTGGGTTTTCGTACCAGAACCGATCCCCTTTACGAAGATTACCAAACTGTTGGGCAATTATACAGGCAAAGGTAGGTCCTACGATACCTCCCACGACTGGACGTTCGGCTAGACCACCAACAAACAGATCTATATCGTCAACTGAGCGGTACGCTTTACGTAACCGCAAGGCTGATGCTGGTCCCATGACGCGATCCAGATCCGCCCAATCCTTGATGGGAGTTAACCCGCAAGGTATTCGCCAGTTGATGTACGGTTGAATTCCGTGATCTCGACCGCGCTGTATGTTGATCGCTGCCAAGTCCAATCCAAATGGGAAACCTGTCCAATAAAAAGTTCTTGTAATGGCGCAACCCCAGGCCAAAAACCCATTCAATACTCACTTCTTGTCTGAAATAGATGATTCGTTAGTTCCGCGGTGATGAATTCATCTCGCTTCAGTGCACGCTGATTAACCATACCTCGCACCAGTCGGTGCAGCGAACCCGGTCCGCCAAGATCCCCCTCAGCGCTTTCCTCGTGGAGCGTTACATTATTAACAATGAATCGATGATGCCTATCTGCCCGCATGTAAGATCCCTGAATCAACGAATGCCCGAATCGAAACGCAGCTGCCGAGAACTCGTTCGCCACCGTTGGATTTACGTTCGGATCGTATCCCCTGTAGAACCCACTGTTTTCAAGATCCAAGTCGAACAGGTGACAAACCTCCTTGCCCAATATGATAGGAAGGAACTCCCGGAAGGTGATGTGCTGGAACACGGCTCCAACGATTCGACGGGCTTCCTGGTACAGCTTTTCATCGCTCCAGTGTGGATTGATGTCGGAGAGCTGAGTGGCAATTTGGTTATGTTCGTTAACCCAGATCATGTGAAGCATCAGTAGTCCAGGCTGTTCACCGCTTCGGGCGTCTCCGGGACGGATGCATTGGTTCGCGAGAGCAGCTCGGAAGCAAACGTCTTCACTTGGAGGACCCCGTCCGAATAGGAGCATTCCGTTGCGGAAGATCCGTGCATTGTCCGAGGTCCGTGGATTGCTGGAGTAGATCGGTGAGGCGTCGATGTAGGAGGTAACCTGATTGGTTTGTTCGCGCCATGACAGCAAGCAATCACGCCGTTGGGCCGGTGCTGAACGGAGGAACTCCAGACAGCGGACACCCAGCGGCGAAAGCCATGGATCATCCAGTGGCACTTTGATGGGCAGGCACGACGGATGGAGGCCTTCGTCGTTTCGTCCGCAACAACGCGGAGTAGATCCGTTAAGACTGCGCGGTTGAGCTGTGGCGGTGAGATCGTGATCGAGCAGTTGACCCCACAGGGCAAGCATCATGGTGACTGGGGCTTCTTCTTGGCGGGCTCCGTGCACGACCAGGCTGATGAAGCGAGCCGACGGTAGGAGGTTGTTGGCGATGGAACGTCTGCGAAAATGAGAGGGAAGTGGGGTTAGATGGAGTTCCTGCGGTAGTGTGTTGGGAAATTGACCCTGTAGTTTGCGGTTGGAACGTTTCCTGGGGGCTTGGTACATGATCGTTCGCTAACTAAAAGGGACATTTTAATTTGTATAAAAATCGCAGCATACTTCAGCCGTTCTTTGACAACTGTACAATATAAGTTGCTAGTTGATCAAAATTTGACAGGGGTCAACATTTTTCTACGATAAGTTGATATTTGGAAAATAATCGAAAAGTTCCTTTCAGTTAGCAAACTTTTAGTCGATTATACCAATATAAATATACCGATAGAAATATTGAAGTATCTCACGATCTCTTCTCTAATTGTGGCTAATACAGTGGTTGTCAAACGTTTGTTGATACCACACCAAAATTCCACTAACTCCGAGCTGTCAATATTGTAGACAAAAAGGGTAAATGTTCCAATTATGACACAATGCCATTTACGCAAAGGTATCAGTTTTGACCCTACTCCATTTAAATCCCATGGGTTATCATAACTGGTACATACCAAAACTGGTGTATTTCTACTTTTATAAGACCAGAATGACCTTAAAATCGCATGAATGGCCTACATTAAAAAAGTTGTGTCTATTTATAACATAATTTGGAAATCCAAGATGGCGACTTATGTTTGTCAAAATAGGTTTATATACACTAGGTAGGTATAATAAAATTGTTGGCAGCAAAATGAAAACCCAAAGCGGCCAAAGTAAAACATTAGCCAATTTCATAAGTTGGTGAACACAAGCAGTTAATAATTTGTCTTTATTGTCTAGCAGATTTTAGTCAAATTAAAGAAACGCCTTTAATTTGGCTAAAATATGTTAACAGATCTATGACTATAAATGTACAAAATTTCAGTAGATTCTGTTTATTGTACTACCAAAAATAACAATTTGAAAAATCACATAAGAAGATTTTTACTAGAATTGATTAAACTTCGTGTACACTCATCTAATCTAGTCAAAAACTTTACAGATAAATCTTGAATAAATTGACGCACATCCTAAAAAGCTACAGCTTATTGTTTTTTTTTGAGAGAAAAAATATCACGATGTTATATACTTTTGTCTGGTACTGTACATTGAAGTTTTGCATTATATACGATTTAACTTAAACATAATACGATGAATTTTAACGTTTTCATATACGATTCTGAATTAAACTGCATATTGGTTGGTTGTTTGAGAATATATTTAGTAAAATACATTGACTTTGCTTTAATCAGAATGTTTTCATAATTGCTCTCAGTCACAGTCACAGTTGATGAAGCGTCAAATTGATTTTTACATTACATTTACATTAAATACTTGCACAAATTGATGTTGCAAAAACGGTCGTCGAAAGCCGTTTGATAAAAGGTCGATGAAGTTTACTCATAGCATTATTGAAAAGAAAAATGTCGGTTAGATGGAGCAGTCTTTCCAATGAATAATTTGATTGGTTAATAGCTGAATACGCCTGTTTTTGCAGCATAAGGTAATGTTTGCTCGTATAAGCTTTTCTGCAGCTAAAATTGGTCGCATTTTACGGTACATGCCAACAGACATATTATAGCTAAGTAAAAACTGAATAAACTTCTTTTGAGCTGAATAAGCTGTTATTCAACTATCAAGATTTTAAAAAGTTTGCAAATTTTCTAATAAAAAATGTTCACTGTGAATGGTATGTTACTTTGATTTCGTATAACTAAATTGCTATGTTTTCGAATGTAGCTTTCGTAGTTGATATAAACCGTTTGATCGATTATATCAAGTCCTTTTGCAATGTAAATTTCTTAAAACTGAAACCGCGAACGTTTGAATTGGGATTTCCTTATGCTGTTTTTTGCTGTGTGTTTCAAATGTGGTATATTCTTTATTTACAGGAACTTTTCCGACTTTTCCGTTAGCCTTATTATATGAAAGAGTACCCTCAGTAATTGCAGATGAGTCTTTAACTCTTAATTTAAAAGTAAGATCACAATTTACACTTCCGACGAATCGATCATTCCCCTAGAGTTGCATGTAACCGTGTAACTAATCGTCCTGAGATTGCCATTGAAAAAAAAAAAACTTCGTGTTCAAACTCACCTTATTCCTTCGACACCGTCCGCGTACTCCGGGGCCAGGAAACGATGGAACGGCATCTGGGCCGATCCCCAGCGCGGCCGCTTCCGGTTGTTGCACGTCCCATCGTGGGTCCGGTAGCGTCGGCTGGCCGGAACGCACGGCGGAGGTTCCCTCGAGGGACACATCCCTTCCAGCGGGGTCCGCTTGAGCGAGATCTTCGGCGGTACTTGTCGTCCGAGGGCCACATATTCGACGTTGGTGCTGTATCACGACACATTGAAATAGATATCAATATCATTTATCATTCATGGTGCCAGAGCACTTTTCACTCAAGGTTAGGTAATGTCACTTTCGAATCGTTGATCGATTCGATCATTTATTTTCACTTTCATTTTATTTGTCTTTTCTTTTTTATTGGTTGAAATCGATTGGCAAAGTTCAAACGGGATAAGTTTCACTTTCTTCTTTTTGGTTTCAGAGTGCAACAGGTTCACGTGGATGAAAGTTCAACACACCACACTTGCACACTTATGTAGGTTAAGTCGCTTAACCCTTGCTTCTTGCTACTTTTCCTCAACTTTCTTCAGTGAAGCACTTCAGAAGGTTTGCTTGGTTGGTTGCCTTGGGGACACACGAAAGCGCAAGTGAAGACTGACGAGTTCGATCGCCTGGCGTATTGTATTTATAAAGTCGCAGTCGGCGGCGCTGTTGTTGCCCGCGCACTCTGCACCACGCGGTACCGTTCCTCGGTGGTACGGCCATTGACGAGGTGCCCCCTCTCTCATTCTCTTTCTCTGCCACCACCAGCAGCGATCGGTAAAACCGAGCGCGCACAAACAAACAACCGTTCGTAGCGGCAGTAGAAGCAACTCGTGTGCAGATTTTCCTCGAGCCATACACGCGAGTCTACGGAGCTTTCTCAAGATCACTCGAAGGATAGTGGGCCAGATTAGGGTGGAAATTGGGAGGGTAAATATTTTCGGTTCAACCAGTTGTTCCTTTTCTATAGAATGTTGTCTATTTATGGAGCAGACTCTGGTTTGGTAGACATATATGCGAAGCTTTTAGCACCTTTACTTTTTAGCTTTCCGAAGTGAAACTTTGTTCAAGATGAAGTGTGACATATCCGTGCATATAATTTTGTTAGCACGTTTACAAAGAGGATCATGTGGAATATTTATTTCTCTTACGTATATGGAGCTGAAAAAGATGCTGTTTAGCACATGTTTTAATAAGCATGGAGTGGAATTTTTTTAGATCTATTTTTAGAAAATAATAAACGTGATATTAACTCTTCGGGTCCCAAACTGAAAATGAAGTCGATATCATAAATTCCAGATTGCTATTTTTGTAATCTTCCGAAGACCAAGGCCGTCAATTTGAAAGTCAATGGAAGTGTTTTTCGTATGCACGATAAGGACTGTTTTGTTTATAAAACGGACACACACTATCAGCCACAACTTTTGTGTTTGTCTACATACTTAATCAGCATTTTGATGTTTGATATTTTTTAACTGACTTTGTACAGTTATCCAATTAATTTACTGAAGACCCTGTTTAAAACAAATATAATGCCGACATTCGGTTGTTGTGAGTTGAATCTCGGTAATACAAGATGTTAAGTGCTGAAAATCTTAATTTTATTAACTGTGTTTCTAGACAGAAGAAACACAGCATTTGCAAGGCTGGTAGCAGGTCACTTTTTAGTGACTTGGTCACTATTTTGAAGCCAGTCACTAAAAAGTCACTTTTTACACCAAAAAGTCACTAAAGTCACTATTTCCCTAAAAATAGTCACTAAAGTCACTTTTTCACTACTAAAATAGAGTGAAATTTAAAAAATATTAACAAAATGTTTAAATTGAGTACCTGCCGCCGAGACGTAGTTTTAACAAAATATACATAACTGTTAAAAAAATTAAAATTTTAACCAGGGTAACTTTAGAACACCAGGAAAACTATTGGGAAATGCCTTCAATTTTGATTAAAAATCGGAGAAAATATACCTCCTTTCCCAGAAAATAAATTGTAAACCTTGACAACTTTCCAAAGGCATTTGTCTGTGATAGATTTTCAAAAGTCTTTCAAGGATGATTAAGAAGTTTAAAAAATCCAAAGTAAATTTTAAGATAATTTCAAAGGATTCTAGGGATGACACCAAGATATATCAGAGGAGAATACCAAAGTACAGACTACGAAAGTCTCATGTAAAATTAAGTGCTCTGAGGACCGATTTCTTCATCTCCGCTTAAATCTTAAGCCAGGTTTACCTATATGTATAGTTAAACTTGGCTTAACACATACGAGCGTCGCTTTTGATTATTTTTTAAATTATTAGAGGCGCAAAATTCAGCTCCGAAACAATTTTGGAAATAATTCCAATATAATTGAGAGTGCATTTAACGAGAGTTCTGAGAAGAATTCTATGATGATTAGATGAGGATTCTATGTTCAATTCTAATAAGAATTGAGGAGGTTCGAAGGAAAGGGGTGTAAGTAACTTTGAGCTATTCTCTTCATCGACTTTCTCTTTTGATAGTCACAGCTCTATAAACGGATTTTGCGCTATTTCTGCGACATAGTTTGATAAAGGAGGTTCTCATCTAGCAGCCAGAATGACACACGAATCAAGGAATGTATTTGCAGTTGAATTATTAACGAAAGAGAAAGTCGATGAAGAGAATCGATCAAAGTCACTTACACCCCTTTCCTTCTAACCCCTCAATTCAAAATTAATTCTGAAATTCCAAGAGAATTCTAAAGAGTTCGAAATAAATTCAGAGAATTCAAATGGAATCGAATTTTGAAGGTTCAATCCCAAAAGAATTCTGATAATAGATTCAAAATTATTCTGTGACGGATTTTTGTTTTGTGAATTCTGAGGAAATACTATGGGAATTCTTAGGAGAATACGAATTGAATTTCCTATTGAATGCAGGGAAGAAGTCCAAGATTATTCTAAGCAGAAATTTATGAAATTTCTGAGGTTAATTGCATGGAAATTCTAAGGAGAATTCACATATATTTAAAATGGATTTATGGAAGGGGGGCCTTCAGGGAGTTCCTAGAAGAATCAATACAAAATCGAAAATAATCTACTTTAACTAATCATGTGTTATTACTTCTTGCGTGAATTTATTATACACATAATTGGACATGCTTAACGTCAAATATCTGTCTTAAAGTGGTAATTTTATACGATAGATGAGGAGATTAAATTATAGAGTTGATAGTTCCGTTATAGTATGGCAGTTTGAAAATTGTATATACAAAGTAGAAAGTGAGCAAAGGACAATTTTGAGGAAAGTACGAATCGGGTAGTTGTTTACGTCATATGGCGACTTGAGTGTGAAACAATCGATATAACTGTTTCCGCACATCGGAGGTACATGAGCAAATCGGCGATCATTCCTTTTGCCAGTCGTGGCAGGGGGAAACACCCCTCCCCATCCTTATTAACGGATGAGCTTGGTAAAGGAGATGCTCTACCCGAGTTGTACCTTCCTCAAAATTGTCGTTTGTTCGCTTTCTACTTTCTATATACAAATTTCACACTGCCGTACTATAACGGAACTATGAACTGTTTACTTTCATCTCGGCATCTATCGTATAAAATGTCCACTTTAATTCTGATATTTGATGTTAAGCATTTCCAACAACGAAAATAATCTATTTCCAAGAATTTAGTTGATTGTTCTGCAAACAATTTCAAGAATGCAGTATTATTTTTTGTAAAAGTTTATTTGCCTCTAAGTTTAAGAGAAGGGGAATCATTCTAAAAAAGTTCTTGAGATCATTCTGAAGAAATTCTGTGAGAAGTTCGTAGCGAATTATCAAAGTTATCTACCTAGATATATTAAAATTTTCCAAGGCAGAATCCAATTCAAGATCATAAAAAAATTGAAATTAATATTTGCTAGTCATCATGTATAACGTAAACAAAAGAGAATTATTCAAATCACTTCAAGTGCTCTTCACAGGAGATTTCGTTGTGAGATTCGGTTAAATTAAAGGAATTTATGTAATTTGATTTTAAGTTCCATGACATAAAAAGTTTATTTCAATATCAAACCGTATTTGAATTTCTATGTTATCATATAAATGGTTACTTATTCAGTATTTACAAGTCACTATTTGGTCACTATTTCCGTAATTTTAGTCACTAAAGTCACTACTATTATATCGCATCAGCACTACCAGCCCTGCATTTACTAGGATGTGCAGCTACTTTCGCCGGAATGTCTTTAAAGACTTACTGATCAAACAGTATTTTTTTGTACAATTCAAGATTGCGTATTGCTCGGTAATAGAGTTTATTGCCGAATATATAACAAAAGATAGAAAAAAATATATAGTAATATTAAAATAATGGGATTTTGTATTGGAAAACATTGATTGTAATTATTTTTTTTATGGTGTTCATGGTAGACAGCGGGTGCAATATGTTTTATACTTTCCTTGAAAATGTATGCTTTTTTACACAACATTTAAAAAAAAACATCGATGTATTTTTTTGGTTTTGAGTTATATATTTTTTAAGTTATCAAGTTTTGGGTTTTTGCTCAATACTCTTATGCGACTAGACTACCTATCGTCTTTCTAGACTGATGCAAAACTTGAAATTTTTGTTCCACACTGCTCAAGCGGTTTCAAATCAGGTCCTGATTAGCCTCCCAAAATTTAATCTCATTTGGTAAAAAACTGACTTGGCACAAACCATTCGAAGTTTATATGGAAATTACTATGGGAAAACTAAACTTTTTGTTCATTGTCTTCTGCCCATTTTCCATATTGCTTTTTCGAAAATTTCTATAACTATTTTTACGGAAAATTCTCTTAGCTACAACTTTGCGAAATATCGTTTTTCAGTCAAATGTCAAACTAAATAGTTATTAATTGATAAAGATATTGATAATCTTATGGCATGATCAAGCAGCTGTTTTGTGGGCAACACTGGATTCTGCAGTGTGACATAGTAGCCATGATATTTGTGCTCTATTCTTCGCACCAGAAACACCAATGTTGCCTGCTGAACAGTCGAATGAGCATAATCATAAGACACCAGTGACTTGAATCATTAATAACTACTGTTCCTTACATTTGATTGAAAAGTGGTTTTCAACAAAGATGTAGCAGAGAAAATTTGCTACAATCACTGCTACCATTTTTAAAAGTATAATGATGTGGTGAATTGTTAGATAGATATCAACAAAAACATAAGTTCTCCCATAGTAATTCCCATATAAACTTGAAATGGTTTG